TTGGGAGTCATCCTCATGCAATTGCCTACTCAAAGCAGTATCAGTTGTGGAGTGAGATGAGGTTACTCAGGGATTTACCCAACCAAGTCTTGAAAATCTTATATGTGTAGTTGCAGAATCCTAGGGTAAGAGGGGGACCCCAAAAGCTGACTGCACTGGAAGCTGAATTGAGCCTGATTGGGAATGAATGGCAAAAACACGCCATGTGACTGGGCCAGAGACCAGTCTAACTGGTCTATGTCTAACTTGGCATAGATTACCTCAGGAGAGGGCATTTACATGCAAAATGCTCACTGAACCTGACCTGATGTGACCAATCACAGCCAGCAGCACTCCACCCTCACCCTCTGTCCACCGATCAATCTTGCTCTCAACTAAAAGAGGAACGCCCTTCCTTTCAGAAGTGAGAGAGAGTCCCTTTCCCCTGTGTCTGGCAATGATGTAAGATGGTATTAAATAGCATTAGGGTTTGACCACTCCCACACGACTCCAGGCTCTGCCCCTTCATGGCTACTATGAAAAATTAACCCTGTCCTTGGCTGAAACCAGGACAATTAGAGCATCTCCTGAGGTCAGCTACAGTTCTCAAGCATCATGAGCATGTGTACTCTCTCCCAGTGACTCTTCAGGCAGTCTGCAGGACCATGACTTCCTGCTGTTGCTAGACAGTGTGGCTGGTGGACAGGAAGAAGTAGAGTGCTGAATTGGTCAGCTAGTGTGACCTTGTGCATGTGTGACTGAGTATGTGCCCAGTGTAAAAGTAAGTTTTAATATTTTTAATACTCTTTCCATGTAATTGAAGTATTAGAAATAAGATTAGCAATAGTAGCTTGAGATCAATTTTTATACGATCAGGGTCAGTTGTCAACCCACTCAGTCACCAAGATGTGCAACTAGATTTATCAGTACCCAGTTTATCTGATTGTCTTGCTTGCTTTTGGGCTTAATTTGTTTTGCTTGCTCTCTTCCACCGCATCATTGAGCGTGGTTGTATTGTGATCATTAATGAGCTAGTAAATGTCCGTGAAGGTAAGCAATTAATATTTGTGATGCTGAGTGTTACACTAAGAATAAGGCAAAGGATTCAAAAATAAAATGAAACTAAGAAAAGGCTTTATATAAATTTCAGGACATCTGAGGATGATTTACAAGTCCACATTCACTGTTTATCAGGACTGTGGACCTAACTGGGGTACACTCTACATCTCATCAAACTCTTGCACTTGTTTCCTTTTCTGGCACAGGAGGGTATAGGCTAGGAGATATGGCTGGTGCTTGCTTGAATGTGACAGGAAGCTGACAGGATGCTCTTAAGCCTGCTAGACAACTATTCCTGCCTGTCTTGTTCACACTGTTCAGTTATGTGGCCAGTAGACATGCCCCATAAGGGAAACAGGTTAGTGCACCTAATTAAAATTGCTAATTTAACTGAGCAGTCAGAAATATTCTTTTTCCCCTACTGTCTTAAGTCATGTGGGCAGCTTCTAAAACACTTAGCTAAATGACTTTTTCTTTAACAGCATCTCAGAGAGGTAGTAGTCCTGGTTTTCAAGATCCGTACAAACTCGTCAAATATATTCCTGTGCTGCAATAGCTGAACAAAAGCTAAGGGAAATGGAAAAATATGTAAAAGACGTTTTGAGAGTTGGAAGCTAGACTTAATTCATGCAAGTAATACAAGTTTCCTCAGACTGTAGTGACTTAGTTTAACTGGGATTGGAGAATATTTCTTTTTAAGATATAAACTATCGTTACATGAAACTTTATTTCCTGGTAGCTGTAAGGAGTGTACCAGCAGTGATTTTTTGTCAACTGTCTAAGAGGTTTTATTTTTAACTACCTGCTCATTCATCACAAGACTATTCACTGGAAAAGGTGGCTGTAAAATTTTTGTGATCTCTCACATTTATTTTTGTTCAATGATAGAAATAATTAATTGTTTTCATGAAAGATTCAAGTCAAAATATGTATTGTGCAAGCAGAAAGGTTTCTTATTCAGTTCTCTCTACATTCCTCTCCTCAGAAAAAATCCAATTTTGTAAACTTTCCAGTTAGAAACTTTCCAAATTGATACAACTCTGAACAACACGTTGCTTTGATAAATATCTTATTAATGATAAGAACAATGTAGGGACTCCTGGTGTCAACAAGTCTACAGTCACAGGCAAAAAAAAAATCATTCTGAGCAAATTCATTACTACATGTAGGTCTTCTAGACTGACACTGGAATCAGTGTCATCCATTCTTCAAAATTCTGCTAAGATTTTCTTCAAATTAGATAAGACATGAGTCAGGATACACTAGTGCAGATTTAACAAACATTTAGTTATGCTATTTACTTATGGAAGTTGCTAAAGGGAAACCTTCAGAGATGCAGTATGTCCTCTCGTTTCAGTTCCAAGGAACAGGAAGCAACTCATGCACAACAATTATCAGTTTCATAAAGATAATGAATTCATACTGCTTGTAAATAATAATTGTGTACCAAATGCAAAAATATACAGAAGATTAAAATTTTGTAAAAGCACTGACAAGATCACTGAAAGAGAAATATAATTCAGTTTTCTAAGCAACATTTACAAGTTACTCTTTACTTCAATTTCTTTTAGATGAGATAGCAAATAGTAACCTCCCTGAGATAGTTAGGTGTTATGATACATTCATCATGGCTAGGCTTTGCGAATGAAGATTTGGGAAGGGCTCTACCCACGTTTGTTACAAGCATGCTGGTGGCTAAAAAGGCCAATATGAGATAGACACGTGCGACTGCAAAAGGCACAGCAGAAGGACTCCTTAAGTAGTAAATTCTGTGAGACACGATTCTTTCTGTGTTGTCTTTTCTCCTCAAGAGTGATCCTGCGTGCGTTCTCAAAGGAAGCAGCAGCGTTATAGATGGTGTGTCTCCAGACTTCCCGACTGGAGGCCAGAGTAGACCAGTTATGATGATCAATATGGCCAAGACTGAGATGTTGTTTCAGGGAGTCCTTGTATCTTTTCTTCGGGACTCCTCTCATGAGGCAGCCGGTGGCAAGTTCACCATAAAGCAAGATCTTAGGAAGGTGGTGGTTCTTCATCCTGGAGACGTGTCCTGCCCAACGCAGCTGTGTTCTCAGCAACATGGCCTCAATACTTGTGACAGCTGCTTGTTCTAGAACAGATGTATTGGTCACATAATCTCACCAGTGGATGTTTAGGATTGAATGAAGGCAGTATTGATGGAAGCGTTCTAGGAGTCACAGGTGGTGGCGGTAGATGACCCATGATTAGGATCCATATAACAGAGTAGACAGACAATGGCTCTGTAAACACTGATCTTTGTACTTTTCTTCAAGTGTTTATTTCGCCAAACTCTTTTATGGAGTTTTCCAAAAGCACTATATGCCTTTGCTAACCTGTTATGATACATTAGCAGATTACAAAAATAAAATGAGGAAACATCTCATTAATCCTGTAGATTAGTCTGTGTGGAAAACTTCCTCATTGCTCCTGTATTTAGATTACATGTTCATCACTATCCTAATTCTTTGAATGTGTACTGGATACTTTTAACAAGATACATTAAGCACAAAGTTCAAGTAACACTATTTTGGTAAAAGTTCTGAGAAGTGCTTAGAATTTTAACTCAGTTCTACTGTGTTTGTACTACAAAGCCTTAAATCCAGAAACAGCTTCAACACATCTTGACTTTATGCAGCTGGGGGCAAAGGTTTTGTTCTAACCTTCTGTTAGCCTCATTTTGGTACCATATCGTAGTAGATTATGTCAGTCTCGAAGTGTAACCAAAGTGTCATTACACAAGCTAGAAGTCAGCCAGAGTGAAGTGGCACTCTGGCATGCCTCTGCCATCAAGTCTTCATTTATATTTCATTGCCACAAAGCAGATGTTGTAGTCACATCTCTGTCATCAATTCATAATTAAGGGATCCCCTTAGCTGCTAATCTAGAGAAGTTTTATAGCTCCTTTGCACATTTATAATGTGCAGCATATCAGGATAAAGATCATAATGTTTTTCCAAAACAGTGCTTAAACACTTTAAAATGGGCAGTGGATATATTTTCTCTAGTCATTATCTTCTGTCAAAAGATATTATAGTTCTACTACTGTATTGTAATACTATTTTATAATGAATATAATATCTACAACACTCTGCCAATACATATTTTATGAGAAAAGCTCATATATGTAGTTCTTTTGTCCTGTAGAAGCATAAAAAAATCCCCTAGTTCAATATTTTTAATCTGATTCCTGATCAATAAATAAACTGCATTGTATCTCACAATCCTAACAAAAGTAACTGTACTCTGTAACCTCCTTGCAGCAGAAAAAACTTCCTCTTGGAAATACACTAGTCTTATAAAGACAAGGAAATGTTTAATAGGAAATGTAAACATAATCATAAAACTGTGAAAAATATGGGAGTGATTTGTAGCTTGTATGCATGAATAGAAATTTCCCCTTATTCATACAACTGGCAGTATTTCACAGAATATACCTGTCCCGAATTGATGAGGTTTCTCAAGCAAAGTTCCCTATTTGCACCAGTTCTTGTACCAAACCTTCCTCAAACTCTTGACAAATAACTAGCTATAATCTACATGTCTGTTTAGCAGGCTTTTTATTGATGTTCCTTCTGCCTACTTTGACTCACCAACAAAGTTTGTCAAAGCAGTGATTAAATAAGTTACCAACTAGCAGTACATCCATATAGTGAAACTCCTTGTGCTGTGGCTAATTTCATTCATTCACAGTAAATTTATTAATCTGCAGTAATTCCTCATCAAAGTCATCATGGAATTAAAAGTAAGGATAGCTTTGGTGAGATCCAAAAAAATGTTAGGACACCTAACCAATCATGAATTTAACTACACTAATCAAAGTAAATGTTAAAACTAAAGATGTTCACAGAAACATTTCAATTAAAAAAAAGTTTTTTGATTTACTGTACTTCTAGGGTTGCTGTAATTAAAAATTAAGAATAAAGTGGCTAGTAATTACTATACTTACATTATTCCTACCAATGCACTTGAGTAGGTTTCTTTTGACCATGTCCTCTATTCAGCTACCTTCCCTTGTTGCTTTTGATAATATTTAGAGTGGGAAGATGAGAAGAAAACAAAGAAAAATGGAAATCAAGAAAATGAAGACAAGGAGGACTCACATATAATGCCTGATAGTGTTTTCTGACATTTGAGCTTGGCTAGACTTCAAAGCAATGATTTCTCTGTAGAAATAAATATTTGAAAGTCCCATTCCTGCATACACTAAGTCCCTAATGATGGTTACCATAAATTTATTTTATCTGATTTAACTGAGCACTGATCCTGAGTCATATCCCTGGCAAAGGAGGCAAAATTATCTAATTTGTGGCTGCTTTCATTTGTTGCTATTGGTAATTCAATGTAGGCTGAAGCAATCCTGAAAGACTTCTATGTAATTCTCTAAAATCTTGACTAACTTAATGACTGGGGACTTGAGCAACTGCTACAGAGCAACTGTTCTCTCCTTTGTGAGTGCATAAGCCAAACTATAAATGAAAAGCTGAGCTATGAAATTGCATTTTTCTCTCAGAGTAGCCAGAAACGTTAAATGTTCAAGTTCATATAATCATTATGTGTAATTTTAAATACAATAAAGCAGATGGCTCAGAACAGAACAAGCTTCTTTTGGTTGTTGACTTGATAAAAGAAAAATGTCATTGATATTAATGCAGTAAAATTTTAGCTGTGAAATTTGATTCCTTTGTTGCTTTACTACTCCCTGCAATTAGGAAAATATTTCAAAAATTAAACTGTTGTTTTGTAAGCTCTGTTGCATTCCAGCCAGCTGATGTGTACTTCGACTCTATGATTAACAAGTTCTTGTTTTTCTAGAGCACAGATAGCATTATTTTTAGAAAAGTAGTTGCCATTAATAAATGTTCCAGAAATGCTGATTCCAATGTTAGCATTTCTAAAGAGTGGAGATTGTCTTGAGGTAAAACTACCTTTGAACTTTAAACTTGATAGGAAAATTAATAGAAAATATTTTTGCTCGCATTTCATCCTGAAATCTGATTGTTCAGTGTGTTGATATGAAAATTTAGCATCAGCTTCAATTTTTACTTTCCTTTTTTTCAGTTGTGATGTAATCACTGTACAGATCTGTTAGTGGAAAGGCACAAGTTTAGGTTTCTTGTGCTCTCAGAAAGAATGTAACCTTGCAGCTATAGCTGAGCAGTTTCGCTCAGTAATTAAATGTCAGAGAATGGAGGATACAACTGAATATCAGGTATCCTTACTCTATAAAAAAATGGAGACCCTCTCTTATTACCTGATAAGGACTTGAATGGAAATACATACCCTCATCCAAAGATTTCTGAAACAAGTAGCTTTCTTTGGATTCCTCCCCTGCCACTTGATGATGTTTTGTCAATGAAACTGTTCCCTTGTTCCACATGATAAAGACTGATGGATTGCTGTCTTTCACTTACTGAGAAAAGGCCTTAAAAAAAGGCCATAAGCAGTTTGGTTTTTTGTTTGTTTGGTTGCAGTTTGTTTTGCTTTGTTTGTTTGTTTGTTTGTTTTGAGATGCATGTATTTCTGTGAGGGGAATGACTGAATTTTAAGTTATTTAGATAATCATGATCGCACATAAGACTTAAAGTCCTTTGCAGTTTATGGAATATTTCTATTACCATTTCATAATTAAGAGAAAAGGGAGTGGGGTGATTTACTGAAGGTTACTCTGAAACTTAGTGGTACTCGTGCAAAAACAATCCAAGGTGTGCAGATTCTCTAGATCACACTAAGTGAAAAGCAATGCGAGTTGAGAATACCTTGTTTGTTTGGTTTTTGTTTGTTTTTTTTGTTTGTTTTTTTTTCCACTGAGAAATATGTGTGCTATTAGAAATACTATATACAAATCTGATACCTTCACAGAGGAGTTTAAACTCTGCATGGACTACATGAAGAGAAAATGATAGAGAAACTAAGAGCAATCAGCCTATTTGATTTTATGTCAGTTCCCCAGATAGCTATTTAGAAAGATTGAGACATATATAGACATACAAATCTCTCTTTCCTAAGAGAATGTAATTGAGGAGAGTATCAATATATCATAAACAACTAAATAGACAGCCTATTTGTGGTAGCTTTCAGTCATCACTTTCTTAAGAAAAGAACTAGGTTCAACAGGCCAGCTGAAAGCATCCCGTCTCAGGGGAGAAAGCTGAGGCAACACAATGGATGAGAGCAAGTAAATAGATATATAAGAAAGAATGAAAACAGGAAGTTTCACTGTGTGGAAATGTGATGTGTTTTCCCTTCTCTTCAAACATAAAGGGACAACAGAACTCTGCTTTATTTCTGGGAATGTCAGTGAGTTTATCTTTGTGTTTGACAGCCAAATCAGTACAATCCTTTTTATTACTTTACATCAACATACTCCTTGAGGAAGAACCTCTGCTCTATTAGATCACTCAGGAATGCAGCAATGGGAATAAATGCACCATAAAGCTCAGCCATGTCCTGCTTTAGATCCACAGGGTCTCTCTGCAGCTCTCACCCAGCAGCAGATATGAGAAAGCTTGACTCCTCTAGAGCCCACACAAGGTGGACAAAGATTACCAGATGAGCAGCTGTTTTTCATGAGATCTATTTATACGAGAACATTTTTCTCCTTTCACCCTTCCACCCCTGCCTCACCAATTCCACCTCAGGCAGCTTTTTCTGTATTTCAGGGCTATTCACTTTGGTTTTCTTCCTTCAGAAGATTAGAATGGACTGCTGCTGACAAGTGAATCCTTTGCAGATCTTCTGCAAAGTGTGGGTGCTGTAGTTATTTTACCATTGCTAGTCCATAGGGCTGTTCCCAACTGAGCCAGCAACAATCAGGTCAGTCTCTTGTTTTCAGTGCTGATTGTGGTAGAGTAGTCAAAGAGGGCTGCTGGGGAGTTCTGGATAATGAGAACCTGAGTGCTTGGTAATAGTGTAGGATTGGGATCCTACATGTGCAGTAACATATATATGGGAGATTATTGTAGCTATGGCTGGCAGCCATCCATTATGGTGGCTTGCAACTTGCTGCTGAGAAATTGAAATGTTAAGAATTTCTGATTAAATATGAAATATAATTAAATTTCTTCACAATATAGAGTGGATCACTCTTACTAGACATGCTGGTGCTATTGGAACACCAGTTTTCTAAGAATATGTTAGGCTAGTTTTATGGCCTGTGTCTGTATCACAGAGACATAGAAACAAGGCAAGAACCAAGATGTGTTTTTTCTGCAAATATTTCATGAAAATGTAGTTCTGTTTCACAGCTTTATACATAGGTTGTCAGAGTGATAGAGAATCAGGTGAGAATGCTGCTGAGGCTTGTGGTGACAACAAAGAGAAGCAACAATTAAGGGACTTTTTACTCAATAATGAAGGAGGTGAGCTAAAATAGAAACTCAGGACTTGTGGATTAAATGTGTTAGAGTTACTCAGTTATTATTAATCTATGTCTTTGAAAGCTGAGAGATCATCTTACATTTATATTAAAGGGTTTGTTACACTATATTTAAAAAGTCATGCTGTGTAATTGTGAAGGGAAGTAACTAGAAGAAAATCACTCATAAAAGAGTATTTCTGAAAATAAACCTGTAATGGGCACAGAAAGAAATTCTGTCTATTTAATGAGGGGGAAAGAGCAGGGTGGGGGAACAGACTCCTAAAATGAGAGTTAATAAGTGAAGTTATACAATGAACTGATTTTTATGGCTCAATCATAAACCTTTGAAGGCAAGGGTTTATAAAGAAAGTGCTGACACTCAAACACTGTATAACATTCTGTAATGGCACCAGATTTCTGGGGTTTCTTTATAAATATATATATTTTTAATAACTAAACCTTTTTGAAAAGAAATAGTATAGATTATAGTAAGAACTACTGATGGAGAAAGGTAGCTTTTTCTTTGCTCCAGTATAATAGGTGTCAGTACTAAAGATTATTGACTTTGTAGCAGCATACTGTAAGTAATCATAGTAAAATTCTTGACCTTCTGCTGTTCAGTTAAAACCTTCAAATTGAATTACACTTTCAAAAATACCCTTTTTAAAATAAAAGCTACTTACTCAGTTACTTTAAATAATTCTGCTGACTATCGATTTTTTCTCATTATGTTCACGTTCTTTCCTTCACTCACAAAAAATTACTTTTCACTTCAGCAGTGAAATATCCATAAGTACTACATTTCTTAGAGATGAGTTTATGTGCTTTTAGATAACCATAATAATTCCATCCATGCACCAAACTTGTAATATTACTTATAGTTGTAAATCCATGATTTTGAGCCAGATGTTACATGCACAAAAACACTAATTTATTATTATGAAACTGATCTGATCTTCTCTCCCTTGAAAAAAAATCTTTCTGATAGGTAAGGATTTTAAGATATAATATCACTTTCAACAACTGTTTTGTGTTTTTTTTTTGGTTTGGTTTGGTTTTTTTGTTGTGTTTTGGTTTTTGGTTTTTGGTTTTTTTTTCAATGTTGCACATTTTTATCTATTGTTATTCTATTATTGTTAAGTTATAATTTAAAAAAACTCACAGTCTATTATGAATAACAACAGGTAAACTTGTTCTCACCTGCAAAGTTAAACCTGGGAACTGTTGCAGAAGCTCCAATCCAGTAACTCCTGATTCTTGACAGCCTAAAGCCTTCCTACGAGTAATATGGGAAGCTGTGCAGAAATAAAGAATCATTATCATCCCTTCATCAGCCCTTGCCATCCTTCTACAGTAATGGCTGATTACATCCAGCTTAAGATGAGCATATAATAACTTTTTTAAAAGCAAGATGGCTCCTTTTAAAGAAGGAACTGGATACCAGCATTCACTGAAAATGCTAAAAGTAAAAGCATTGTACATTTTTAAAATTACCTATTTGCATTTCTCTCTAAAACCTAATGTCATAAAATGGTGCAGGTAAAGCACATTTTTACTTTCTTGCCTGTATCTGCTTAACTAATGCAATGACTATGTGAGTTTTAGGGGACTGGAACTTCTACTCCAACTACTGGAGGCCGTGCTATTTCAAGGACCTGATATCATCAATTCCAGACTGTAAGTACCATCAGTCTTTACAGACAAGGCTGTTAAAGGTCTCATGTCATATGACTTCAGGGGCATTTGTGTGCTAGACTGAACATAAATGATTTAAACATAATCCTTTTGTGCTGATGCATTTTTTTAAGCTATATGATCATGTGGTACAGCATCTAGAAGATGGAAAAAGAATGTTTAATAAAAATTAAGGGTTATCTTCTACTGACAGTAAGTATTGGTAGATTAAGCACTGTTGGTTAAAACAACAGATTTAGAGTAGTAAAACAAGGTTTACCAAGAGAACATGTATTCTAACAACTGTGGCTGTCTTTGAACCAGCAACCTCTTTGAAATTGTCTTCTCTGGAGCTAAGAAGAGGAAACAAGAGAGAATGAGTAAATTCTCTAATATGGTGTCAAGTTTGAAAAATTTTTTTATGGTCTGTAACTGTCTCTAAATGTCTTTTTGGACAAAAGAGGTTTGCATATATCTGTATAAACATATGTTTTCCCTTATTTTTTTCTGTGAAAGAGCCGTGAATGTTTATTCCCCTAAGAATTTTCACATACATAGAAAATTTTACTTTATTTGTTTTTCTCTCTTGAAATTTCCAACTGCTGCTTCCACAAATCTTATGAAAAGATATCTAGCATGGTTGCAAAGCCCCCCAGGGTGGTTTCTAATTTTTCTGTGTTTATTTCATCAAAACATTTTTGCATTTGATTTTTTTTTTAACCCAGTTTTAAGGTTAAAAAAGTTTACTTTTAGTATTAAATGTCTAGTCTAGATTCACATTTCTATTTCCAAATCAAATACATAGGCATGAGTTTCAAATTGAAGTATCATTGCAACATTCTGTCCTTATTTAAGCCACAAGATATTTTGGGCTGATGTGTTGTTACCTGAGAGAAAATAAAGACATTTGGTGGTTAATAAGGTGAAGTACACAATTGATTTGATTCAGCTCCTGCAATGTCAGCTTATTCTGTAGGATATATTGAAGTTTTCCACAGATATAGAAAATTGTCTAGGAAGAGAAATAGACAAGGCCAAAATCTTCTCCTGCTTTTAAAGACTGGTCTAAGACAAGTGGCACTCAAAAAAAAAGAAACCATAAGTTGAAGGTAAAAACAAATCCAAGTGGCTTGTAACAAAAACAGTACAGTTCAAGATGAATTTGTAATGTATCAGTCATAATGTCTTTGGCCCTTGTTATCTCTGTGCTATTTTTATATCCTTGTAGAAGAAGACTACTCCACTATCTCATAATATGGAGTAGAGAAGATTAACATATGGCACAAGGGTGGCTGTGGAAATTGTAACCTTTGAAATGGTTTTTCTAAGGCATGTCACATCAGATTGGCCAATTTGTCTTAAGAAGGTCTTGGCTCTGTTAAGAAGCAAACTAGGTTATGTTGAGAAACAGGCCATGCTTTGTGTTATAGTTTTAATAAGTGCTAAAATATACTTACCAATTAGGAAATTTTAGCTCCTTATCGTGTCTGAAATCCTTTTTAAGGTAGCAGGGTGATGAATGATGAGGGGATTATTTGGCTGTTTTCTACAAAACTGAAATTTTCTTTAGTATTGCAGCTCTAGATAATTTTTTGTCACCACTGATCTCTTTCCTCACTCAGAACACTCTCTTGTGAGTACTTTCTTTCTGGTTGTGTCAAGCAAGCAGGAGCCAAACAAAAGCCACAAGCTTAAATCTGTAGCATGTCAAAATGAGAAACAAGATTAAGTGTTTGGTGCAGATATGAGGGAGAATAAAGACACATATTTTAAGATTCATGCATATCATAACCTCTATGCAAAAATGTACATTAAATGTGTTTTAGAGCTGTAGCTAGCCATATCAAAGTATCTGTTCAAGTTAGACTGATAAAGTGTTTTAAGTGCCTGGCATCACTGAAGTCTGCTTTTGACAGAGTATGAGATTTAAAGACTGCTTTTCTTAATGATTTTTGTGAGGGTAAGTCCTACATTTTTCTTAGAAACAGACTTTCTGGTCAGTATTTATTCTCTTTTTATTCTACTGTCCAAATGTTTTCCCTCTTGATGGAAGTTTTGATTGCATTTGTGCTCACTCTACTGTTCTGTCATGATAAGTGGAATTAGTGGCTGTTTTACACTGCTGTAGTTCAAACAATTATATTCTGTGAGCTGTGGGTGTTAGTAGAAAGCCAAGAGTAAAGAAGTGGCTCAGGCTGGGCAATTAAAGTATAACAAACTATGAAATTTATACCACTTTTAGCTAGTGAAGCAGGATTTCCTGTCAAGATTTTTATACAGAAAAAAAATTAAAATAACACATTTAGCTTATGATTAAATGGTTTTAGAAAATTTATGAAAGATGAAGACACTTAATTCACCTTGTTACTGAAAATTGGCAGATCTCCTATTTTGAAAAAAATCTCTTGGATCATTATATTAAAATCATGTTGCCTATATTAGGCAAGTTGTCAACTTAACAGAGGCTCCTTGCTTCATTATTGTTTCTTCTTTATTATAACAATAGACTTTAAAGTGTTGAAAATGAGCCAATGTTAAGGTCTAATTTCCTTTTAGTGGTATACTGAAGTAACAAAAGCATTTTGATCTAGGTTAAAAGTTTCTCTCCAGACTAAAATCATGTTAATTTCTTTTTTCAATGTAGCTTCAATCTTTATAAAAAACTATCTATTAGCTGTATGATTACATAAAACCAAAACCAAACCAAAACCCCAAACCCCACAAAGATAGCCAAATTCAACCCTTGCTACTCCCAGAAAAACTTGCCCTCGGTGCTCAGAAGACACAGCAAAATCATTTATTCAGCTTGATCATGAACAGTAGCCTGGATTTGTCCTGTGAGCAAAATTTAAACAAGTATACATGAGTGCAATTCCTTCACACCCTGCACCCAGCTTGATTGTTCCCTCTAACCACACCACCCCTTGTGATGTTTGCTGCACAATAATGCTCACCACCAGGTATTATGTAGTATCCAGATGAAATCTACATTTAGCAAAAAAATGCTGAACACATAGGAAGAGGCTTTTCTCCTTCAGTCTTAAAAGTACTGGACCAAATCCTTCTCCCAGCTGTACTGTGTGAGCAGCATTCATATGATGAAGTGAATATCTGAGCATAGTTACTTGATAATGTCTTTGAACAGGACATAATGGGAAAAAGAAACTATTTGGAATAAATAAGTCTTGAAAGGGCAGAGGATCGATTAATAATTCTTTTAAATTCTTTTAAATCTTCACACATAAATGCATATAAAGCAATGCATTTGGGGCTTTTATATTGCTAATGGCTTGTTTTATTTAACTGTTTTCAACACCAAGTTCTAAAGCAGTAATTAAATTTATAAGCCAAATTCAGTCATTAGCTGAATGCAGGAACCACTTCCAAATTTAGGGCCAGTACAAGGGCTTTTCTGTGTTTCTATAAGTGTTGGATTATGAATTCAACCTCTGTATTACAATAATATTCTGAGGACTGATTTTTGTCAAAAAAATATTTTATATATGTAGTATTTATGTATATAACACCATGGCATTTCATTAGACTTGTAGCCAGTACATAATTAAGGTGTCTGGTTGATTGAGAAGAGTACTGAACTTCTGGAAAAGCCAGTTTTCCATTCAACCATACTTAAGCCTCCTCAATACATTGAAGATGTGGTTTGATGATTGTAAGCAACCTTAAAGTGTAATTGTCTCTTCTTCCCCAGTGATAAACTTTGAAATACCTTGCCATGAGAACAGAAACTGATGTAACTTTCAGAAATGTTTCCTGGAAATTGCTTTATTTTTGATTCTAACTAAAAGACAAGAGGCTAAAAGAGTTTCCAAACACCTTTGAAAACATGTTGGAAGTGACATTCATGCCACGTTATCGAATATAAAAGCAATACAATGTGATCCAGTTGTGACTGAGTAGTCAACCAGAAAGGTGGAAGAAGCCAGAGGTAAGTACTGGAATTGTCTGAAAATCAAGGGGTATTTTATGTATAAATGCAATCACCCAGGAGGCAGGGGAGAAGGAAAGCATGGATCGTTTGTGCAAAGTGATGACCTATGATGAGGAACAGGATGTTTGCTCCCAAGTTTGCTTGTGAACTATAGGCCAGAAACAGTGAAAAGATACAAAGTATTCATATGCAACCAACAACATTTACCCTAGTCAATGTCATGTTAAAATTAATATTTTTTTTATTAATTGAATTGTAGGAAATTCGCAATTAGTGTACTCATGTTAAGTTTAATACTATTTTGTTATTACAGGCTATATAAATCATATTTATACCGCCACTTCAGTAGGTTTCTGAACCTACTGACTCTCCTCTGCTGAGGAGAGTCTTGCAGACTTTTATTTATATGTATGCATATATGGAGAGAGAAAGAAAGAGCACATGCTTGTCACTGGGAACAGTTCTTTTAAGAGATGTTAAACAAAAACTTGGCAAGTAACTTATATGTGCTAGACAGTTATGTCTCTGCAGATTGTGGAATGGCTCCCAAGCTCAGGTCTCATCATGTCCCACTCTGCTTCTCAAATTGTATCTCCTATTTCTTGAGTTTGTGAAAGCTCTGTGAGTTTCTGCTCACACGCTACAAAAAGCTTTGTGAAAAATCAAGCAGAAGCTAATATTATGTATTCTCTCTTTGGCTTTGGATTTGCCTCCCCAGGAGTGGTTAGCCTTGGGGTCTTGAGTTACATTGACATATAATGAATGATGCTAAGCTTTTTATTCAAGATGTATCCATTTGGGGGCAGAAGCTGTAGATGATGTCCCTTATCTAATCACTGTCTTGTTTTGCAACAAGAAAGCACTAAAACTTAGTGAAATTGTAAAATGTACTCTGTGAATATATGCACTCTAGATTTCCCTATAAGCTTCATTTTTAAAGGATTTATCACAAACATGTAGGGTGATATTGCCTTGGGTATTGATGTAACTTTCTGAAGTGATGGACAATAGAGCTAAACGGAAAATGCAGATCTTTATTGTTAAGAAGTCTGTGTTTTAGTTAGATTTAGTTAGATTTTTTTGTTTTGTTTTGTTTTTTTTAATTACAAATCTGAACAAAAGGTCAGTTCACACATTGTCTTCCATAGGGTTTCCTGATATTTTAACAACTGATGTGGAACTTTTTAGCTTGCTGGAAATACCTGCAGTGAATGACAATGGCTTGCGCCCTAAGCTGCAAGGCTACCTGGGCTGCCTGAGAGCACCAGGAACCAATTAACCCAGGAGCTGGGCACCTAAAACAAGCTGACATCTAGGGCTTGCTTTGGAATTTCTTAGACGCTGACAATTGAGTTGTTCGGAATTTACTGCTTAAAGGGCACTCAGTCACCAGCTCTGAAGCCCAGTTAATTAATTCCTGTCGGAAGAGCTTTACCCTGGATGCCTAATGTCTAGTTATACTGACCTTTAAAATAACATTGCAGCTGAGATATCTACCTAATAATAGCACCCTGTGTCCTGCACACCAGCTTTCAGAAATAGGCACAGCAGGCTTCTCATACTCTTTTCCTTTTGTCCAAGATTGTCATACTTCTTGCCCTGCTTTTATTCAAAACTTTTCATCTAGCCATAGTGCAGACACAGCTATGGCTGAGATCACTTACGCTTTTCATGTTGCCTGTGGCCTCTTGCAGACATAGTCAATACCTGCTCCAAGGACTTCCCTGTGCTTGTAATTGCATTGTCATCTGTAAAAAGTTTTTTCTGGCTGAAGTGAATTTCTCACTGCTCACAAGATTTTCACCTGTTATAGCAGTATATAGCTCTAGTCTCATAAAACTGATTCACAAGGCATGCCTATAATCAGATCTGTAATGTCTGATTTGTTTTTAGCTTTCAGTACAGACCATTTGTAAGACACAAACATGAGGTTTGGTTTTAAGAGCAGATTGTCCAAACACTTCCTCTCTACATTTGTCAGACACTGGTATCCCACTAGATAGCCAGGTAGCAGGGAAGCAGAGGAGCAGCAGCAAGTCCCTCAGCACCTCACTCACAAACAAGCTGCCACAAAACTGGCATTATCCAGGTTTTCAATATCTGCAACTACTCAGGCATTAAAACCTCTCACAAGGCAGCTTCCTGTGCCCTGGGTTTCAGAGTTTGCCTCTGTGCAGGCTGCTACTACTCACACAGCTAACAAGCCAAATGGTATGCCTGAGAACTCCGAGACAGTGCAGGTCAGTTCTTCAGCAGCATCCTACTGCCACTCCTGTTTGACAGGGTGGGAAGCACAGGAAGACGTGTCTCCCTGAACACACCATAAAACAAGTTGTTGGGAACCTGGGAAGTCAAGGAGCTCCACTTTTAGGGAGTGGTTTCTAGCACGGGTAGGTTGGTGACCGGCAAGAACTCAGTCAGCATTGCCTCAAAAATTGGAAATCAGTTGGTTCCGGCTTTGTTGAATCAGCATTTCCAGAGGAAAGCTGTTATGTCAGAAGATTTTCCACCCAATATAATGAGCAGAACAGTGAAAGCAGCACACATTGTAGGAGGAGATTT